CAGTCATCAATTCATGCATCACCTCATGTCATCATAACAGAGGTCTGTCTTCCAGGAAAGAACAGTTTAAAATTAATGTAATATAGTATTGGCCATACTATATGATGTATTGCTTGTCTTTGTTTAATAATACAGAAGACAAAGACCTTAAAAAATAATCGCATATCGCATCGCAATCGCAATATTGGGGCAAAAAAATCGCAATTAGATTATTTTCCATAATCGTTCAGCCCTATTAAAAATGCTTCCTCCTTCCCAGGAAATGGAAGTCAAACTCAAGTCTGAGCTTCGCCTGGAATAACAGGAAGTGACAGGAAGGCTCTCTGCGGACACTATCTGATCAACAGCAGCTTTATCAACGCCCAGAAGTCGAGAGTCCAAAGATAACCAGAAGTTTTGGTTAGAGAGCCAGCCTGTGATTCACTGAGTACTTCCTGACTGACGTGTTAATAAAGTCAGTGAGAGCTGGTTTTGGTTTTAACCTCTTTGACATGTACTTCCTAAAAAAACTGCAGCTTCATGGTGAAAGCCTGTGACCCGATTCACAGCATCTTCGAGCCAAAAAGCAACAAACTGGGAGAGAGATGATTTCAGCCGAGAAGGAAGGCGGAGCATCTTGCGTCGTCACTGAGCTTATACCCATTACCGTGAGAGAATTCCCGTTCTCAAACCACACAGTCTTCACGGTGATGTTTGAAGCTACACAGCAACGACGATGTGGGGTCACCAGCGGTGAACGGAGGTTTCAGAGAGAAGAACGCAGCTACGCCACAACATGTGTAATCAGCCCCGTTTCAGTGATGGAGCTGTAAGGCCGAGCTTTACTTGTATTTATCTTATAGTACAGGCTCACTTCCTGACACGGGCTCTGTGAGACCTGTGGAAGTACGTTCAAGGACAAAAGTCAAGATCGAAAACTTTGCATTTACCTCAGGACATTTCTGGTTTTATTAAAGGCCACAAACGAGCAGAGGCTGTCGGATAAAGGTCTGTGAAACAGACTGCTGGGAGCTGACTGTCTGCAGCCCTCCTCTGGAACTGCAGTGAGAATATATTATATTCCTGGACTAAATGTCACACAGGCTAAAATACTCGATGTGGACTGGCTGCGGGCTTCATCCTCACCAAGCTGTATGAAAACGCCGTTGAGACGTTACATTTGCAGTGAAATCGTGCCTGTAGACCTTTTATCTGGGCCGCGGTGAGGATCTCATTTCCCAGCTTGGCCCTCGCTGAACCTGAATTTGACACCTCTGACTTATGATTAGGGCTGCCACGATTTGTCGACTAGTCACGATTACGTCGACTATCAAAATCGTCGACGACTGATTTAATAGTCGACGCGTCGTTTGAAGCTTTGTAAGATCCCAAAAGACGCAGGAATAAGTAGCAGGATTTAAGAGTGTAATAACGGACTGAAACAGAAGATGGCAGCATTGCATGTACAAGGATGCCAGCTACCGTTAAACCCCGAAGAAGAAGAAGCTGTGTCCCAGAATTCATAGCGCGGCCCAGCGCAGTTTCCAACAATGGCGGCAGCTAGTTAGTTTTAATATTACTCTTATTATTCTTTCTGGGTCACAAAATAAACGTTTAACATATTTTCAGGCGAGAATGTAGCTGTGTAAACCTCAAATATCTGCTCAGTTTATCAGGACACCACATATTTTCAAAAGCGCTCCGACGTTTTCGGAGACGTCTGTTACCCACTAGCTCGATAGCTAGCCGGGGGCTAGGCTCACTAGAGCCGTGAGAACACCGGACTCCCGGCAAATTGTTTTCAAACCCACCGCCGTCTTTCGCTACTCAGGTTAAACATGATATATGAGTCACTTAGATAACTTAAAATGTTATTGTTTGGCTTTTTTTTTAGTATTTTATTTGTTCCTGAGTAAATCGGTTTGGCTGAGATTAAAGTTATAGTTTTTACACAGCTGAATAAACGTCAAGCAGACAGCTGATTATCAGAAGTGTGAGATGCTCCAGAATATACTCCAGTGTCCTGTTATATTTTAGATAGCAAGGAGTTTATTAAACTTCACCGAAACAATCTGCAAATTTCATTAAAATTTAATAAACTATCATCTTGTCTTTATTTTTAGTTAGCACATACCTGAAACACTTAAAGCTGTAAGCTAATGATAGTTATATAAGAGCAGATGCTGCTGGTGCAATAAGCTGTAGTTTTACGTCTAATGGATGATGATCTGATTAGTCGACTAATCGCAAAAATAATCGGTGACTAGTCGACTATCAAAATAATCGTTTGTGGCAGCCCTACTTATGATGCTGCGATATTTTAAGACTAGATGAAACTCCCGTACCACTGCACCCTGACACAAAGCAGAGAGTGAGCACACACGCCTGTCGATGTATGAAATACTAATACTATTGTACTATTCTTAGTTAGCATATTGTCTGTCTTGTCTTAATGTTGGTTTATAATGGAGCACTGTAACAAAAAATAATTTCCCCCAGGGATCAATAAAGTATTCTGATTCTGATTCTGATTAAACCTAACGCATTAACTCACGCTAACATGAATCGCACCACATTGAGATACTTGTGACCGTGTTCCCATAACTGAGGTTTTCCTGGTTTAAAGGGTGATACCGTCCACAATTGGAGGCTGTTGGACCCATTATTCACGTTCAAGGCCAACAAGTATTATTATTTTTACCCTTAATCTCGCATTACACACTAAAATGACATGTTCTTATGAGCTTTACTTTGAGAATAAAACTACTCAGTATGGTTTGGAAACTACAAATGAAAACTTAGGTTTGGGCAATAAATCCCTGGATAGTTTTAGGTAACTAATTAAAACTACACGTTTAAGTTTAGACAATTAAAACTACTCTTATGTTACATTAAGGTAAAGAAAATAATTCTGTTAGGTTTAGGTAGTAAAACTAGTTGGTTAGGTTTAAATAATGAAACTAATTATGTTTAAGTAGTGAACCTATAATGAAAACTGCTATTATGTTACATTTAAGGAAAGAAACTTATTCTGTTAGGCTTGTGTTGTGAAACTACTCGGTTAGGTTTAGGCAATACAACCCTGGTTAGGTTTAGTTAAAGTTGTGCTAACTAACAACAAAAGGACAACACATGTCTTGTACGTGCACAACAGATTAGATTCTTATAAATTTGTCACATTTTCACTGCTGGACATTTCTGTGGAGTCTGGAGACCATCGCAGTCACGGGTACCTGAACACCTCTCGAATGTGGCAGAACTGCACAAACGATTAATAATGTCAACACAGAGCAAATCTCAGAGGAACAACAGCAACATTTAACAACAACGAAAGTGCCTGTAGAGACGAGGCCGCGGAGTCACAGACGATATGAAAAAGTGGGATTAATATAAAGATAAAGGCCTCGGAAACCATCGTCTACCTAACAAAATAGCGAAAGAAAGAGTAAAACGAAGTGCTCCTGTGGGTGTTTGTCGCTCTGTAAATGAGCGTGTCCTGCCCTCCCACCTGCTTCGACTCCTTGGGGTCAAAAACACGCTGTTAGTCCCCCCCCCGCTTTCCCGAGACGTGATTGGAACGAATCCCCAGACTGAAACATTTACATCTCCTCTGTGGCGAGCCGCCGGCAGACGCCGGCACTATCCCCCGAAGACGGGCTGAGCCAGATAAACCAGGCTAAGCCCATTACAGGCTGCTGCTGATTGAATCGAGGAAACAAGATTAGAAACATGCAAATAGATTTTATTAAGAGATTCAGGCTGCAGCTGTGAAGACTCATTCATTAAGACCGTCCGCTCGCTGCCCGCCTCATTTCTGTTTTTCTGTCTCTCTGCAGGAAGCTGAGATAAACAATCATATTCCCACAAGGAAGCTCGCTACTTCAGCATCACCTTGAACATGATTTCCCACTTTTTTCTCTTTTCAGCAGCAGCAATTAAAGCTGAAACAATCTGCAAGTGTTTTAATTATTAAGTCAGTCATTTACCCACGAAAAGCTGTGAGTACTTCAGGGGGTTTTTGTCTTTAAGACACTGGAGTGGCCTTTTTCTCTGATTTGAGTAAAACAGAACTCTGTAAACTGAGAACACAATCAGCAAATGTAATCGCTTAATCTTTGCTTCTTTCTGGAGAAGCCGTCGGTCATGAGGACGTTAAAAAAGCTGATCAGAAAACAAACGTGTCTGAGAAGAAATTAATTCAGCGTGCTTTTCTATTTGACATCTAAAAAAATTAAGCTAGCATGGAAGTTTCCGAACCTGCAGTTCCTCAAATGGCCACTTGAGGTCCCATAGACACCCACTTTAAGACGTAAACACCATCTTTGGATGGTTTGTCTCATTTACTAATACATTAAAACACCACAGATAAAATATTGCTGTAGCTACCGTAACGTTATAATTAATGAGGAGAAGCTCACGAGTGCCCCCTGCTGAAGCTCTGTCATAACTGCACCCGATTTCTGTACAGTGGGATTAACAGGAAGTAGAACAGCTTCCTTCAGTCAAGGGTGGGTGACGCCCATGTCTTAAATATCACTGGTGTCCATGGTTACTAATGTGGAGGGGGCGGGGCTTTTGACCTACAGTTCAACCACCCACCAGGGGGCGATCAATACACCTCTGGAGCTGTCACGTTACATAATGCTGTCCTGTTAATATAAAATAAAGTGCAATACATCAAAGTCTTCAAATCATGCTCACTACATTCTCCCACCTTCATCATCATCATCATCATCATCATCATTAATTATCAGTAACGGCTTCATTATCAGCACCACCTCCTTCTTTTCTTCTTCTTCATCACATCTTTCTGTTTTCTCATAATGCCACCGGCACATCTCAGCACATCTCCAGCAGCTCTAATGACTCTACAGCGTCTCCTCGCCTCAGTCAGAGGTCCCTGAACGCGCTCCTCACCAAGTTAAACAGTTCAGCTCAATTTAAATTTAATTTAAATTAAATCGATTAAACGTCTAAAATTACCAAACTCTGAGTGTTGAGTGAATAACCTGCCCTCCCACCTCTTTGATGGTGCAGTACTCCGCCTGCGGGGACCATAACCGCCTCTTGTAGAAGTAGTTCAGCGCGATGAAGAGCGCGGAGCCGAGGGCAGCCACGGCGGCGGTCAGGGCGATGGAGATGTGCCGGAGGAGAACCATAGGTGGCGGGTGAGGTGGCGGAGGGAGCCGGGAACGGGAGCCGGACACACCGCTGCTGCTTGTTCCTGGACGCCGACGGCTCGACTGACTTCCTCGTTCCTCGCGGCTCCGCGCTCGTGCTGCGGCTGTGCGCGCTACATGTGACCGAGCCGCTCTGATGTTTTTGTTCCCAGACGCAGAAAAAATGCTGCGTTCAGGCGCTGCTCGGAAATTTCCCTTCTCCTCTGTACAAGCGCGTTTAACTAATACACTGACGGTCAGCGACTGCTTTGATCCCTGATTAAGAACAAAATGTACTTTTTTCTTTTTTAATCTGTCATAATCTAATGATTTATATGACGATTTTATTTGTTCCTGGCCTACTAACGTTGATACATTTATTTATTATTGCGTTATAATGATATAAAATTATTGAATTTTGTGAATATGCATATTTGTACGAGAGCCCGACTGATACCAATACCAAGTCATAGATAACTATTTACACAAATTCTGCTCGGATCAGCTGATTGTTGTGTTTGTAATGTTCCAAGCACCTGTTGCAAACAGAGAAGTTCTAAAGCACCCCCTGGTGTACAAACCAGACTATGCAGCACCAACATTCATAACAGAAATTAAACGTTTTTCTTTAATTCTTCATTACTTTTTCACTTATCAGCTTTTTTAAATTCCAAGACCAATATAAAGGTAGACAGCTAGTATTTGCTTATATATACTGGAAGTGTACCCCACAGTGATGTAACCCACAGTGATGTGCCCCACAGTGATGTAACCCACAGTGATGTTCCCCACAGTGATGTGCCCCACAGTGATGTGCACCACAGTGATGTGCCCCACAGTGATGTACCCCACAGTGATGTGCACTGTGGATTTTACTGTTGCTGTAACCAATTACAATAACATTAAAAAGAAATATATTTCATGCTTCACTTCAATTTAGTGGATATTTTATTCCTGTTATATAAAACAATTATGAAGGGAAGAACATCGTTTGAATATTTCCTCCTGAAAAAGCAGCTCAAATCTAGCAAAGTGCTTCATTAAGAAAGCACTCAAAGCTGGAAACACATCTGTTAGTGAAGGCGTTTTCTTTTTTCCACAGTAACAGAGGCGTCATGGAGGCCTGACCCTGCATCCCACAGCAGGCACAGCTTCATGCACTGCTTCATGAATGCAACAGTGCCAAAAGAGTGACACAGCTGCTGGGATAATGATGGAGAAGCAGCGTCGTTTTTCACTTTGTGACTGAGGGGATAAAAAACCCTTCTAGCTCGCGCTCCACTGGTCTGAGTTACACCTGCAGTCCTGTGGAAGATGACATTATCTGCTCAGAAACACAGACGCATAAGTGTTTATAATAATGGAAATGGTCAAAGGCTCTGTTTTGGACCCTTTTGCTGTCACAGCTACTTTAACTCTTCTACAGGTTGTTGGACACATCCCTGTCCCTCACATAGTCCCCCCCCCCCCCCCCAAAAAAACCCCCAAAACATGTCACATGATGATCATTATGAATTTAATGCCAGCAACTGCTGAGCAACAGAAAACTGTTGTTGAAGTTGTTTTATGCTAAAAAACAAACAGAAATGAAAATAACTGTTGAGGTGAATTAAAAGCATGATTGGACATGAAGGACAGCTTCGCAGTTTTTACAGATAAATATAGGGAGGGTTTCAGCTCTCCGTGGAAGACTGTGCATAATTCATTCATAGTACATAAAGTCGTTAAGATTCAGAGAAATCTTCATACACAAGGTCAAAAACCAGGCTGTGAGCCTCAGGCCTTCAGGCAGCGCAGCACCAAAGACAGAAATGTGGTGATTCAGTGGCAGAAATCAATTTCTTAAAAACACGTCAGTGAATGCAGCTCATCACTGCGTCCTTCAGTTTCACTTGAATCCCTGTGAAGGAAAAACAGAAACAAGGCCGCGAGATAAACACTGAGCACACGCTTTGGTGACAGTGGGAAGGAAAAACTCCCTTTTAACAGGAAGAAACCTCCGGCAGAACCAGGCTCAGGGAGGGGCGGGGCCATCTGCTGCGACTGGTTGAGGGGAGGGGAGGGAGACAGGATAAAGAGATGCTGTGGAAAAGAGCCAGAAATTAATTATAACTGATGAATAAATAAGAGGTGTATAAAAACACAGTGAGTGAGGAAGATGCACCCAGTGCATCATGAGAAACCCTCAGTAGCCTAAGCCTAATGCAGCCATGCCTGTAACATCTGCACTACGAAGTAGTTTCACTCTTTGTTCTTGATGTTGGACTCTTGTTTGAAGAAATATCTGCACGATGGAAGAACCTGCAGGTGATGATAACCATCATCTCTCCCAACCTGTTCAGCACTGCGGAATATTGTCCTCCAGGGGGCGCTGTGGGCTTGAAAGTTTGGGCAGGTTAGGAGGTTTAACTGCTAACAAATAAGTGAATAACATTTAAACCAGGCTTTATGAATAAAACATTAATGTATGAGCCACAAAACTGAACAAAACTTTAAGTATCACCATAACTCGCAGCCTACAATGAAACTTTCTGTCAATAAAAATAATAAAAGTTGTAAATGTGGAGGTTTATCTGGGTATTTTTGTTATGTTTATTTGTTTGATTTAAATTTTTAGACCAAACAATAAAAAAATTTAAAAAGTACAAAACAGACAAAATATAACGTTTAAAATTTACCAATAATAATAATTATTGTTACTATTTATATAGTAATAATAAATAATAATCCATAAATATCCATATAATAAAAAAATGTAAAATGACATAGGTTAAGATAAGGACTTTTTTCAAGATTTTGAATGGATTCTTACTGTTGTAGTAGAATAAAAGTTTCAATCATAAATAAAATTATACCACAAACTATAGAATATGCATAAATGCATAATTTGCTATTTTTAAATATTAAATTAAGGTAGAACAGCAATGCTTCCATAAAAATAAAAATAATTTAATGAAAACTGAGTTACTGAGATTTGAAATTTTTATTTTTTAAGTTTTTGCTTTCAAAATACTTCACTTTGATTCAATTTACAGAGTAGATTTTATAGTTTCAGGTGGATTTTTGATCATTATTTTTAATCATGAAAGTTTGTCAGGAGCAAGATTTTGCAAAATCGGAACAGCTGTTTGAATAAAAACACAGCACGTGTGCATTTCTATTTTACTGTAGGTTTTATGGTAAGTTCCAAGTGTTTATTCTTAGTGAATTTTAATCTTGTTTGTTACTAACTTAACTCACATCTAGTTTTGATTGTTTTAGTTGTAACTTTTTTTAACTAACGTTTAGCTATAGTTCACTGCAACATTCTCTTTTTTAACATAGATTTTTTTTAATTTTAGTGATATTTCAATACAATAACCAAAAGTATTTACATTTAATGTTTACCTTCACTATAGGCCTTTTACTATGTTGTGTTATTCATAGACCCCTGTATATTTTATTCTTCTTCCTGCTGCTATAAAACAATATTTTTCTCATGGTATCAGTAAAAGTATTTTTCGGAAATTGTTTTGCCCGGAAGTCTTATTTTGTGTCCTGGAGTTTGTCAACAAATATTTTATTTTGAAACCGGAAGTCGGGTTGAGCGGCTGCCGTTAGCTTGATCGGTTCGAGCGAAGTCATCGGGACCGAAGAAGACTTTACCGCCACCGCTGCTGCAGTCTCCCTCTGCCCAGCTTTCACCGGAGGATTTTTACGGGATAACAGAGAAGTTCTTCGGCTATTTAGCGGATTTTAACGGCTGTGAATTCTCTCGGTACTTTTCTCCTTTCTCCAAGCGGCGGGCGGACTGTTCGCTGTCCCGCAGGCTGGAGGCTAGCGTCGGTTACTGCGGCTAAACATGGTGGCCTGTCGGCACGGAGAGGAGCCGAGCCCCAGCTCTGCGGGTTTGGGGGTGTTATAAGGGAACGCGAGGACGCTGGCTGCTGCTCCACCCTTTTCTAAGTCTGCGTTTTGTTAATCTGGAGGTTTCTACGGGGCTCCCCGTGTGTTTCCGTTAAACCCGAGCAGCAGTACCACCGGCGTCAGCAGGACCCCGTCCGTGTTCGGCGGAGCGTGGATAATCATCCCGAAAAAGTTCTTCCAGGCCGCCTCAAAGTTTGCCCGCGGACCTGGGAAACTCCAGACCGTCCTGGACACTCCTCCAGCTGCTGTGTTTACGTTACGGATACTTTGAGGCTCTCAAACCGGGATGAATTGTTGCACAAGTGCAGCCTGATGAAACAGTTTGTTTTACCCCCTTCCTCCTCCTCCTCCTCCTCCTCCTGTTCAGGGTCTGATTGTTAATCTGAGGATTATTATGGATTTTTACCATGGCCTAATCCAGCCAGACTCTGAATTTGGGGACTAACTGCAGATGTAGAGTCTGACTGTGATGGTGATGATGATGATGGTATCTCTTCGCGATGATTCTGAGTAGAGAGGAGTTCATTACATGGAGACTCGCCTGACATGCCGAGGAAGGAGTTGCCACTACCTGACGGTTGGGAGGAAGCCAGAGACTTTGATGGCAAAGTTTACTACATTGACCACATTAACCAGTGCACGAGCTGGATCGACCCCAGAGACAGGTAGGACTGCGCGAGGACAGGTGCCGTCGACCTTTGACCTCTGGCAGATAGTCAAAGCACATACATGTAAATACATGATGTGTTAAAGGCTCCATTCATGCGGTAAACGAGGAGGTGTGAGCCTTTTAGCCCAAACATCGTTGTCTGTTCATGAAGTCAACACAGAGTTCCACACCATGTTTGCACTGAAGTACCTTGATATGGATTTAATGTGCAATATTTAAACCTGACGTATATTACGAATATTTAAACCAATATTTAAACCTGAGGCTTTTTTATTTAGGGAGCTGTCGCAGGTAAAAGCCAGTCACACTAATCCCAGTAATGCCTGATTTTAGGGACCTTGTTCCCAGTTTTCTGGCAGGTTTATTTGTTTATTAAGTTATTTGATAAGACATCATAGTAAAATCAGTGGTAGCAGGTGATGGAGGAGAGTTGGTATGAACCTTCCAATAAAAGAGTTGCCCAGTGGCTGGCCAACAGCTAGAGACCTCTGATTGGTTGGAGAGTGGTTGCTGGTTGGTGCCTGGTTTTAAATTGGTTGCAAAGAGGGTGCTGCACCAAAATCCTCCTTGGGATTGCTTTGGTGGCTCACAGGTTGCTTTGATCACCTTTAGTTTGCTTGGAGGACGCCCACTCATTTGGAAACGCTCACCAACTAACCACCAAGCAATTGCATACAACCTCCCAAAACTACTCGCCAACTGGTCGGGAATACTTTATTTTTCCCTAGCGACTTTTGGTTACCAGGGAAACACTGACCAGTCAGTTTCACAGCAACCACTCACAGCTGGATGGTGGAATACTTGTTATTCCCTAGCAACGGTGGTTGCCGGGTAGTCTCCAGCTGGTGTGACTGAGGCGTGAATGAAATGGGTAGCTGCTGGAGTCAAGGTGGGTGAAACAGAAGGTGATGGCTACCTGATGAATCAGCCTCACAGGTGTGCACAGTAATCAATTAATTGCAGTGAAAGCCAATCACCTGTATGAATTATTATCTGTAAATTAGAGTGAATGCATTTTATGTACATATATATATATATATATATATATATATATATATATATATATATATATATATATATATATATTAGGGGTGCAACGATATTCGTATCGATATTGAACCGTTCAGTACGCATATGTATCGAACAATACAACATTTGTAATTTATTTTATCAATTTTCCTTCTGACGATGCTGTCTGTGTTGAGCGCTCAGTGGATCTGCGTTCGACTACTCCGCCTAGGCTGCACTGTCGAGCGCAGATCCACTGAGCGCTCAACACAGACAGCATAGTCAGAAGGAAGAGCGCAGGGCAAGCTAGCGAGACAGAAGTTAAGCTCTACTTGCAACAGGCAAATTGAACCTCATTCAGATCTGGCGTTTGGAACTATTTTGGTTTTCATGTGACGTATGACCCTGAAGGTAAGCGAGTCATGGACTAAAGTAAAACAGTATGTCGGATGTGCCATGCAATGCTCAATTACATGGGTGTGAACTAGTGTGTTAGCGCAGTTAGCTCGTTAACGTGTTGGCCGTCTAGCCCCATGCACGGGGCAATCGGCGGTAGCTCGTTAACGGAGATTTGCCGTGTTGTGGCGTTAAGGTCATTTCAACGAGATTAACCTGAAAGCACTAGTGGGAACACAACGAATATGACTGCACATTTACGCCGACATCATCCTAGTGCAAAGACAAGTGGAAGCAGACAAAAACAACAAGCATGCTACTAACTTTACCAGAGTCATTTAGACAGCTGTTAGCACATGATTCTCCTTATGCTGCTGAGAATATAGCCCAGAAGAAGTGGATAGTATAGCTTTTATTTTGGAAAGAGCCATTTCTCTGTAATAAACTCTCTTTTCCAAAGATGAGTGATTCCTCAATCAGATACAGGGCTTGCAATATCGCTAGCCCGACGTCCTGGAGCTAGCGATTTTTTTTCAGTCGGGCTACCAAAATCTTTCTCTTCCCTGCCCGTCGGGCTATTGTAGGAAGGAAAAATATATGTCAATGCTTTTGCATTCTTTCAGAAATGTAGCTGGGTAATTATGTCATTGGCATCGGTGAGCCACTGTCAATATGTGACATATTGAAATCGCGTTTGAATTTGCGCTTGTTTTTTTGCTTTCACTTTGCAATCGTGCGAACTGTGTATAGAGAGCGAAAGCACTGATCTGTGAGTGATGATAATTTGTGCACCAATTCCTCTGACATCGTCTTATTAATCGTTAGCTTACTATGCAAACATGACAAGTGAAATCTCCCGCAGCTTAAACATGTGAGAGGTTGATCGCGCAGAGAATCGCTGAGCTTATGTGAGTGCGTGTGTAAAAGCATTTCAGTTCTGCTGAGCCAAATAAGACAGGTCAGGGTGAAGAAGTGACAGCCAAAGAAAAGCTTACCACAAAACGGAGAAGTTATGACAAATCAGACTATAAGGCAAAAAGAAAGTGCAGCTTTATGGTTTCATGGACAAAAGAATTTCTGTGGCTGCAATATGCCGAGCTAAATAACCAGGGCTGCACATAAGTGGTCCGCAGGTGCGCATTCGCTGTCACAATAAAAAACACGCACAAGGGTTAGGGTTAAATTTAAAAACTGTACTTTTGAGTTAAAATATATATTTATAATTTTAATAAATGACAAATTAAAAAGGCATGAACACTTTTTTGTATCGAAAAAATATCGAACCGTGACACCAAAGTATCGAACCGAACCGTGAATTTTGTGTATCGTTGCACCCCTAATATATATATATATATATATATATATATATATATATATATATATATATATATACACACACTTTGATAAGTATGGGAAAAGTTCATTTTTACCCTGTAATCATGCTTTTATTGCTGCAGTGAGGCAGCTGGAAGCTAGTGAAGTATTTTGAGCTCTTGGCAGCCTGAACATGTTCATTTATTAATGTTTAATCAGACCACCTAGACTGCTCTTAAATAACTTTTTAGCAACGTTATTATTTTTGGCTTCTGGATGGTGTGTCATTTTGTGTTTGTAGTAGATGATTTTTGATATCTTGCTAATGATTAAACGGGTCAGTAATGAACAGCCAGTCCAGTGAGGTTCCTCCAAATAACTCACTCCAAATACCTGTTTACCTCTGCGTGAGGAATCATTCCTTCTCTCGGGAATAATCTGAGAATGGAACCTCGAGCTGAGTGTGTCACAGAGCAGAAAGCCTCCTTCAGTTTGTTAACCTGTCATAAAACCTTGGGTATCTCATAGCTCAGGATGCCAGAGGTGCTTTCTTGTTTGCTCATTTACATTCCTGCTGTCAGGCGTGGAGGTGTGTTACCTGTTCTTTTCTCCTCTCTCGTAGAAACCATTAGTGTAATAGGCTTAAAGAGGCGAGCGTGACAACGACTCGCATGTTCAGCTCACCACAGCGCAGAGGGGAGGGTGGGTTTATACAGGGTTTTTCAGTCTTACCAGTCACTTAAGACCCCTCAGACTTTGACACTGTGTCTGAGAAGTGGTCGTGCTTCCAGCTGTTAGATTAAAATGAGGATGATTCCATCTTTGAACGTCTGCCCGTTTTTCTTAATCAAGAACATTTGACTCCCAGAATAATTCCAAACCTCTGATAAAGTTTCCTGTAAGTAAACGGACTCAGAAAATGCCTCTGGGGTGAGGGGGCTGACTCTGCATGGTTCCTGATTCGTCAGAAGTCTGTTTCACCGCATTTAACAGAAATCTTCACATTTTTCCCACAATTTCCAAGCATGTGATATTCCAGGAATGTCTGCTATGTTTCAGTAAAAACTCCGGTGAATAAAACAGTTTGAAAACATTTTCTGGCAATCTTTAGACGTCCTGCACGTAGAGCTGGGCGATATGAGATGTTTTCATATCACGATATGTTTTTTTTCATTTCAGGCGATAACGATATCTATCACGATATAAGCCAAATAACTATATTTGTAAGATTTAAATGTGCCGTTGCTCACAAGTAAAATGAGAAATAATCAGCAGTTTGTTTTTATTTAAATATTTATTTCCCATAATAAGTTCAACAGGGTAGATGTACTTAAGGAACATGAGACTTTTTCAGATAAATAAAGGCAAATATTGCAAACTACACAAAAGGCAGCCGCTAAAGCGTCTAAGTTTCAAAATAGAACAAACGAAACAGACTAAATTGTCAATTCCACTTAGAAACAAAATATTAATTCTAAAAATAAATCTTAGTTTGTTTTACAGAAGAACAGACAAAACTGACTAACTTTTGTCAATATCAAATAAACTGAGAACTAAAAGGAAATTCTCAATCTCTCCTTGTTGTATAGCTGAGCTTTTCAAACAGTTTTAACAGTTACTTTAGTCTGACAAAAGCCGAATGACGAATTAGCGCTTCCAGTCAGAGACTGAGGCTACGTCCACACGTACACGGGTATTTTTGAAAACGGAGATTTTCCGTTTTCGTTTTAAAAAATAATCCCGTCCACACATAAAGGCAGAAATGAAGGAAAACGCTGCTATGAACATGCCAAAGCAGCAGGTGGCGCTAGATTCCTAACCGTGCAGAAATGTTGGCCAATCAGAAGTCTAGAAGCCTCGGTCTGAAAAAGTAAACAAAGCTGGGGCATAGAAGCAGAACCGAGTCGTATGTGTGGAGGGACAGTAACTGTGTGTATATGTAAGCATTTAAACACTGCAGAGAGTAGAATTAACAGTATTGTAGAAATTCATTTCACCGAAACAATAATGTGGCGCACAGTGTGACGCATGCACCAGTTTATTGTATTTCCAGACTTGCTTTCGGCACAATTTACAGTGCACGCTACTCTGTTTTTTGTCAGACTTGAAATAGCCGAAATACCTTCACACTACGGAACTTCTATGGCTCTTCCGTTCGACAATCTCTCCGGCGTTGGAACCATCATCTGTTTTCTCTTCGGTCACGCTCGGTTGATTTTTCTAGTCGGCACACTCATTTCCTCCATTACGCGCTGGCTCCATTACCCGCTGGCTGCT